TTGCAGTTTTCTATTTAACGCTTTGTAATCCGATCCTGCGGACAAGGAAGCGCCTTGAGACTTTGCAAGGTGGAGAGAGGAGAGACGTTCTTTAGAATTTTTGACCATGAAATGGTCCTTGAACCAAAAACGTTTGGAAACCGCCACCCAAGTGTCTATTCATGTCTCTCCATTTTCTCACACAAGGGGGGGGCGGGGGGGCTTCCTGTCCCTTTCTCTTTCATTCAAACCAGGAGCAGCCGAAGTGCAAAGGACAGCGCGCCTCGGAAGATGCTCTGGTGGCGGGGGCCAGGGCCCCCAATGGCAGCCTCCGGGAGGACCGCGGCCAGGGCTGCAGCCAGGAGAGGCGCCGACAGGGGGCGCTGCCGCCTTCCCGGTCCTGCCGCCGTGTATGGGCGGTGCTGCCACCTTGGGATCCCGTGCGCCCCTCGCCGCGTCGGTCCCCTTTTTGCTCGCATTCACTTTAAACTCCGCAGCGCCGCCTCCATCCTCGCACCCGGCCCACCGCCTGGCCGCCCGAGCCGCTCACAAGAGGCCGAATTCGGGGTCTGCGGGAGGGCGGGCCCTCCTCCAACTCCCCCCCCCCCCCCAAAGCCTCCCACAGACGCCGCCCGCCGGGCTCACGTCTGGAAGCTCTTTCGCTAAAACAAGTCGCACATGCCTCGACCGGGATGGAGACGCACCTCCCCACCCCCCGCCGCAGGGGTTCAGAAGGAGGGGGACCGGGATTGGGGCGCGGTGAGGACGCCTACACACACACACACACACACACACACACACACACACACACACACGGCCGCCTACAACACACACGGAGGAGGCGCACACCAGCTTCTGTTGCCTCCCCGGGCGCGTGCCGCCTGCACTCTCTCGCCTGGCCTCCACTCCCACCCCGCGCCCCCACCCCCACCGCGGCCCCCAAGCGCGTGCGGGATCTCCCGCGGACCCGCCTCCTCCCCGCCCCAGTGCCCGCGCGCACCCCGCCTTGCCCGCGCCCCCTTGCGCACCTGGCCGCAAACCAACGCCATGAATCCACCCGAAGGGTGAAGGGCGGGAGGATCGCGTGGGATTGAATCCACCCGCAGCCCGTGGGCAGCGTTTCCGCCCCCGCCCCCGCCCCGGGATGGGATAGAGCGCCCACCGGTGTCCGCAGCGGCAGCGCTGGGGGGTTGGATGAGGTCTTCCCTGGAGCCCGTCCGAGGGCCTCTGAGCGCCTGCGCCTTCGGCGGGAGCCTTTCCCAGGCTCTAGAGGGGCCGGAGCCGCCGTTCCAGCTGCGGGAATTCCTTGAGACAAGAAACAGGCGCCTCTGGGGTGGTGAACACACGGCACAACACACAGACGGTGTGTTCTGGAACTGCGCGCCTGGAACCTATATAATTGTGCTAACCAGTGTCACCCCAATACATTCAGTACAGTAGGAAGAGAATGGAGAACAGGAGCCCAGCGGAGGAGCTTGGTTACCGCGCAGCCGGCGGAGGGGACCCAGGCCCGGACAAGGTGATGGCAGGAAGGATGAGGGGACGGAGCCCAGCGCTGGTGGACGCTCCGTCCGATGGAGGGGTGCAGCCGAGCTGGACGGAGCACCTCACATCCGGTCCCCAGGGCCGTGGGGGGCTGCGTGGGGGAGAACCCCGGTAAAGACGTGGTGCCAAGGCCAAACTTAGCCTCCCTCCCGCGGTCGCTCACACCTGCCCTGCACACCTGAGGCCGCGGTGGCCACTACTGCGTTCCATTTAGCAAATAGTAGTTTAGCGGGCCTGGTGCCGGCCCCAGGGAAGGAGGGGTGCGCACTGGTGCAGTCACCGGCACCGCCGGAGCAACCACAGTGGTTAGGCCACCAGCCCCCTGGAGCCGTAGCCTCCCGTTTCGCGTTGGGTTCCCCGGGAAACCGGAAAGGAGTCCCTGAGATGCGCCTGCTCACCGCTCACTGGGCAGCGATGAGGGGCCAACCCGGGAGGGAGGAAGAGAAGCCGGAGGGGCAGGAGGTGAACTGGGAACCTTGGCCAGTTCCGCAGGGAGCTGGGAGCTGGGGTGGTCCTGCAGGGTTGAACCAATGTAAGGGGGCAGCCCTTGGCACCCCTGCGAGGAGGACAGCTAATGGCGTGGGCTGCCCTCAGTGAATGGGCAAGTCTCAGGCAAGAGCCCAGCTGAGAGCCGCCACAGCGACACTCGCCGGCAGCTGCAGGAATGGCGCCTCAGTCCTGGCAGGATTCTGGGGGGCGCACGGGGCACCCACTATGCTCGGTGAGGGCAGCCTGTTTCGTCCATCCTGCCCTCTGCACATCCGATGTTTTCCTACCACTTGGGCTGCAGGGGCGATGATGGTCGTACCACAGCGCCTTCTTTCCAAGTTCCTCTCCTAAACGCAAGCCCGACCGCAAAACACTAACAACCCAATTAAAACCAGACAAAGAAGCCCTAGCCGGTTTGGCTCAGTGGATAGGAGCGATGGCCTGTGGACTGAAGGGTCCCGAGTTCGATTCCAATTAAGGGCACGTGCCGGGGTTGCAGGCTTGATCCCCAGTAGGGGGCGTGCAGGAGGTGACCAATCAATGATTCTCTCTCATCATTGATGTTTCTATTTCTCTCCCTCCCTCTCTGAAATCAATAAAAACATTTTTTTAAAAATCTTCCATGTACACTGCATAGGCACATCTCATTCTCCAAGGTCTCACTTCTTTTTTTTAAAATATATTTTTTTATTGATTTCAGAGAGGGAGAGAGAGAGAGAAGTAGAAACATCAATGATGAGAGAGAATCATTGATCGGCTGCCTCCTGCACGCCCCCTACTGGGAATCGAGCTGCAACCAGGGCATATGCCCCTGACCAAAATTGAACCCAGGGCCTTTCAGTCCGCAGGCTGACACTCTATCCACTGAGTTAAACCAGCTAGGGCTGCTCTCACTTCTTAAGTGCATACTATCGCTTTAATAAATTTACTGTGCTCTGCTAAAAAAAAAAAAAAAAAAAAAGTGCTACCTGGCCCCCCTTGGCCTGCCTCCTGGCCGGGCCCAGAGGCCCCCACCCAGAGGTCAGGCTGGAGCCTGCTGCCAGGTATACATGTGATCCATGAAGGTGTGGCAGTGAGTCCCCAGGGCAGCAGAAGAGAGAGCCTTTTCACTGTAGTCACCCCATTGCTCTGTCACCCCAGGGCCTGTGATACCCAAAACAATACTGGAACTAATGGACACCATTGTGCATGAACCCCTCATAGAAATGGACTTGCCAAGCCTCCCTAGACCACCCCCTCAAAATAAAGTCCAAACTCCTTAGCCCCACACGCAGCCCCTTCCCCACATTCTGGCTCCCCTGGCACAACCTCCCAGCCCCTTGTCCTGTGTTCAGGATCTGGCCCTGCCCCAGCCGCAGGGAGAATTCATAGCTCTCTCCCCAGCCCTCAGCCTGCTGGATTCTGGTTCACCAGTTAGGGGCTCTGCTGGACTGGGACCCCCTGAGGGGCCACATGGATTCACTCCCAGGCCTTCCAATTAGCAAACTGGTGACTGAACAGGGAGTACTTTTCCTTATTTGTCCTAGACTTGCCACTGTCAGAGACACAAAGGGTGCACTTTAGGGCCTTCATTACAGCATTTAGTACCCCAAACATCTCCTTCATGACTTGGGGTTCTAGGTCAGTGGTTCCCAATGTGGGGCACAAGCCCCACAGGGGGGCAATTTGATTTTTAAGGGGGGTAATTCGAGAATAAGTTACTGACAGCGAATTTTGTGCATTTCCTATGGTTCTTAGGAGCCTCATAAACAGTGTATAAATATATTGTGACGTATTTATGCATTTCAGTTCTCTATTACAGCGGTCGCCAACAGGTGGTCCGCAGACCACTGGTGGTCCGTGAGGTCCGAAAGGTTGGCGGCCGCTACTCTATTATGTTTTGAAATTTTATTTGCTATTTTTTCATATCACTCCATATTATTATTTTTAACAATTTCTTAGTGATTTCTTCCTCAGTATGTCAACTGTCCTTTCGTTCTTTTATTTTTCTCTTTCATGGATGCCATGTTCTATGGAAGCTTATTTAGATCAAGTGAATGGCCTTTCAGGCTCCGACCACGTGCATAGGAGTCATTTTCTGAATAATAAGAATTCCATGTCACAGGAAGGGGGGTGCATCAGGACTTAGAGATGCTTAGGTGGGGCGTGGCCAAAAGAGGTTGGGGACCACTGCTCTAGATCCTTCTCAGGCCCAACCTCATTGTCTATCATCCTTCCCCGTGGCGGGTGGGGGAGTCCTCCATGCCCTCATTTTACTGGGATGCCTCAGCCGTTCAGCCGTACACCAACACTAAGGCTGGTTCTTGCCAGGCGCTGACTGCTGGGCCCAGGCCGCGGCGGGAACGCGGTGCAGGCCCGGTGGACGTTAAACAAAAGTCACCCCACACTCAGCCCTCAGTGCAGGCCGATGAGGGCCCAGGGGTTGCCCAGATCCCTGCGGCTGCTTCCCCAGCTGCAGCTCCAGGTCCCCGCGGGGCCGGCGGCCATGGGCACAGCCCAGGGAACGGGTCCCATCACCCACGTGCCAAGCACAGCCTTCTCCGCTCCCGCGACACGGCCTGGACGGAGCCCGGAGTTCTGGAGGCCGTTGGGCCACAATCCCGAGCTCTCCAGCCGCCCGGCTCACAGCCTCCCCGCGACGAGCGCACTTTCCTACCGCACGCGGCGCCCGAGGGCAGGCGCTGCACCCGACAGGCCAGCGAGCTGCGGCTGCGCCCCAGGAGGGTCCTCCGGCCGCGGAGTGGGGCGGGGCCAGGAGGCGGGGCTTGTCCGGGGCGGGGCGGGGAGGCGGGGCCTATGCGGGGCCAGGACTGGAGGCGGGGCCGGGGCGGGGGCGGGGCTGGCTGGGGGTGGGGTCGGTGCGGGGCGGGACCTGGAGGCGGGGCGGGACCTGGAGGCGGGGCGGGACCTGGAGGCGGGGCGGGACCTGGAGGCGGGGCGGGACCTGGAGGCGGGGCGGGACCCGGAGGCGGGGCGGGACCCGGAGGCGGGGCGGGGCGGGGAGGAGCCAGTAGGGCCTGAAAAGGCGTCCGTGCTCTTGGGAGCGACCTCCAGGCGGACAGCGACGGCCGCCGCGCGATCACGGGCGCTATGGGTGAAGACCCCTGTCCAGGGACCCTTGGACCCGAGCGGGAGGGGGAGGCCACCCGCGCGCTGCCACCCGCCCGCCCACTCCCAGGGCCCGCGGGGGGCAGGACGGGAGGGTTCGCCGGCCACGCCGCCCTCCCTCACGTCGCGTCTCCGAGCCGGGCCGGCAGGGTGGTGGGTGGGACACGGGAGTCCCAGGTAGGAAGTTAAGCTCCCGGGAGTTTAGGGGTGCAGGTGCCCAACCCCGTGGGGAGGGCAGCAGGGTAGAGCGGCCGCTCCGGGCGGCGGAGCAGGCAGCCCCGACCGCCGGCGGCAGCGTGGGGCGGGGTCAGAGCGGGTCCGGGGCTGAGTCCGGCTCCGGCTCGCCCTCCCTGTGACCTCGGGCCTGTACTGCACCCCATGCCTCAGTTTCCCGGTCTGCGGAGCGGGGTTCTTAACATTAAGAACCAGCCTTAATACTTGTGTGGCTGAACGGATGGATGCATAACTTACTGTGAAGATGTGGGAGATGGGCCACTGCATCTCACCCTCAGCAAAGACTCGGAAAATGTTGGCTATTATTATTATTATTATTATTACTGTTTACTCCAGTTTACAGAAAAGGAACCGAGGCTGGGTTTTCATAACTTTGCCCACGGTTGCGCGGCCAGCAAGTGGCAGAGCCCAGAGCTAGCCAAGCCCCAGACTATTCTGGAAAGTTCTGTGGTGAAGCCCTTCCAAGGTTTTCCTCACGCAGTGGACCCAGTTTCTCTCCCCCTCCCCCGGGTCTCTCCCTGGCACCGTGGGGGCAGCACGGGAATCCTGGGTGTCGCTGATGCCCTGCACAGCGGGGTGAGGGGCTGGGCCCGGACCAAGGCTCCGGAGTGCGGCTCCAGGACTGAGCTGATGGCTTTCAGGTCTGTTCTCGGAGCTGAAGTTGGCTGTGCCCTGGGGCCACATCGCCGCCAAAGCCTGGGGCTCCCAGAAGGGCTCCCCCATTCTCTGCCTGCACGGCTGGCTGGACAATGCCAACTCCTTCGACAGACTCATCCCTCTCCTCCCAAGAGGTGGGCTGGGCGGGAGGAAGGCCAGGGCGAGGGGCAGGGCTGCTGGGGAGTGAGAGGGGAGAGGCCAGTCCGACACCTCTCCTCCCTCTTTCCCTCCGCCTCAGACTTTTACTACGTGGCCATGGATTTCGGGGGCCACGGGCTCTCGTCCCACTACAGCCCAGGCCTTCCCTATTACTATCAGAACTTCGTGGGTGAGATCCGGAGAGTCTCGGCAGGTAAGAGGCAGAGCGTTGGGGAGCGGGGCACCCCCTCTCACGGTGGGAGTGAGTGTGGTAGCCAGGAAGCAAGGCTGGCCTGGGGGTGACCTGCATCAGGCCCCAGCTCTGCCCCGAATCCCTGGGTGACTGGGAAGCTGGAGGAGGCCGGGAGGAGGGCCAACTCCCTCCTGCGGGGTCCGCCCCTGAGGGGGGGGCCCCAGATGCTGGGACAGAGGTGGGGAAGGCTGGACCCCAGCCCTGGCTCTGTGCTTTCAGCCTTGAAGTGGGATCGCTTCTCCATCATGGGCCACAGTTTTGGTGAGTACACGCGCTCGGCCTGGGCCGGCGGGGCTCCGGCGGGAGGGGGGGGGGGCTGTAAGGGGGGCGTTGGTACTTAGGTCCCTTTCCCCTGCACTTCTGGGAACTTCAAGGGAAATGAAGGGGTTCATTCGACATTGACCTTTAGACACTGAGGCTTCTGGGCTCAGGTAACTCCCTTGAGGCACCTATGGCCCAGTAGGTAGTTGTCTCCCAATTTTTTTTTTTATATAGTTCATTGATTTTTTACAGAGAGGAAGGGAGAGGGATAGAGAGTTGAAACATCGATGAGAGAGAAACATCAATCAGCTGCCTCCTGCACACCCCCTACTAGGGATGTGCCCGCAACCAAGGTACATGCCCTTGACCGGAATCGAACCCGGTACCCTTCAGTCCACAGGCCGACGCTCTATCCACTGAGCCAAACGGGTTAGGGCTGTCTCCCAATTTTTAAAAAAATATATTTTTATTGATTTCAGAAAGGAAGAGGGAGAGATAGAAATGTCAATAATGAGAGAGAATCATTGATCGGCTGCCTCCTGGACACCCCACACTGGGGATCGAGCCCACAAACCAGGCATGTGCCCTGACCAGGAATTGACCTCTTGGTTCATAGGTCAACACCCAACCACTGAGCCACACCGGCCAGGCAGTTGTCTCCCAATTTGATGAGGGAAATATGGCCCCCTGAGTGGTCAGGTCTGATGAAGGGGCCATCTGGCCCCAGGGAGGGAGCCCCAAGTTTGGCAGGAGCCCCATCACTGGTGAGAGGGGAGCTGGGAGGAAGTCTGGTAGGTTTTGATGGCTGGGGAGCTTCAGCCACTGCTGTTTTGTCTCGTAGGTGGCACTGTGGGTGGAATGGTGAGTAGAAGGCTTTGCAGTGATCACCTCTGGCCGCCGTGGGTGCTCCTCCAGGTGGGGGTGGCGTGGGAGAGCAGGAGGAAGTTACCTGGCACAGGAAGCGTCTCTTGGGGCCAGGAGTTTCGGGTCAGCGTTTCATTAGCTGTGCCAGCGGCTTGGTAGCTCCCAGCAGTAATCGCTGTGGCAGACAGAGCCCCGAACGCAGGCACCCCCGGGCTTCGGAGCTGGGTGCTGGGTGCGGACGGGGTGGGCAGGGGAGAGGAAGATGCCCTAAGGGATAGAGGGTCTTGTTCCGGCCTCTCGGTCAGCACCCTTGCCCCAGCCTGAGAGGTGTTTCAGGAAACACCAGGGAAAAGTTTGAGTCCCTTTCCCTTCAAGCGCCTCTCCTCTTCATTCTCCCCTTTTTGTGTCGCACCCAGTTTTCCTGTATGTTCCCCGAGATGGTGGATAAGCTTATCTTGCTGGACTCATCCCCTTTTGCGCTGGACTCTAATGTAAGAATGGGGCTGTCCCTGAGGAGACCCAGGTCCCACGTGGGGCCCTGGGCACTGTCTCCTCTGGTGGGTAGCAGGGAGGTGGGGGGAGTGGCAGAGGGTAGACAAGAGGAGTCCGCCTCCCTCCCTCCCTCCCTCCCTCCCTCCCTCCCTCCCTCCCTCCCCCTCTCTCTCTCTCTCTCTCTTACACACACACACACACACACAGGACAGAGCTATGCTGATATACTGCTTGGGGTGGGGAGGGATCTGCAAATGCCAGCAGCAGCCCTGGGTGAGGGCTGGGGGGGAGGTGCTGACCCTCCCCCACCGCCACCAGTGACAGCCGCCGGTGCTGTCCCTGCATCTGGGCCCTGGCTCTGCCGTATGCCTGCTGTGTGACCCTTGGCGGTCACTTCACCTCTCTGGGCCTCAGTTTTCTCACCGATTCAAAATGAGGAGGTCAGCCCTGGCTGGTGTGGCTCAGTGGATAGAGTGTTGGCCTGCAGACTGAAGGGCCCCGTTCGATTCCGGTCAAGGGCATGCACCTCAGTTGCAGGCTCCTCCCCGGCCTTGGTCGGGGCATGTGCGAAGGCAACCAATCGATGTGTCTCTCTCACATCGATGTTTCTCTCTCTCTCTCTCTCTCTCTCTCTCTCTCTCTCTCTCTCCTTCCCTCCCTCCCTTCCCTCCCTTCCATTCTCTCTAAAAAATAGATGGAAAAATATCCTCACAAAAGAAATAGATATATATATAAAATCTCCTCAGGTGAGGATTTTTAAAAAGTATTAACAAATAAATAAAAATCAATGGATAAATATCCTCAGGTGAGGATTAACAAAAACAAACAAAAAATGAGGAGGTTGGTCGTGCACCGCGGGCGGGGGCACGCATGGTCGGGACGCGGAGCCGGGAGGCGGCCTGCAGCTCTGACGCTGTCGCTCTGCTCCGCGGCCTCGGCTCCCGGCTGTGGCACAGCTCCTTCGGCAGCTGCTTTCTTGTCTGCTGAGTGACCATAAGCTCCGTAAGGGCGAGGGCCACGGTGTCCTTTTTGCCGCCACGTGCCCATCCCGGCCTGGCAAGTGCGCAGTGAGCTCGGTGCATCGCCCGTGGGTCCGATGAGATGGTGGCTGCCCCTCTGCCTTTTCATCTGCGTCGCCCGCTGAGCCGACAAACGCAGTGCCCGGGGCTGGTGACTGCTTGGTCCTCCCTGTGCTCTCAGCAGAGTGTTGCGAGCACCGCCCCCCCGCCCCCCCCAGCCTCTTCCCAGGGTGAGTAGGATGGAAAGGGGTACACCCGGGGCAAGCTGGAAACCCCTGAGCGGCACCCCGCCAGTCTGCACGCCACCATTCGGAGTGACAGCGAGAGTTAGCCAGGTGAATTCTGGTTGAAGCATCGTTCCAACCACCAGGTGGTCCCTGACTTTGCCGGCCATGTTCCCCTCCATCGTCCAAGCTGCCCCTCCAGCTGTCATCCAAGCTGAGCCTCCGCCGTCCCCACCACCGGCTGGGCCGGGCCAGCAGGCGGCCTGCTCTGGGTCAAGGGTTAACTAGCAGGCCCGTCCCAGTTAACCCGCCCGGGTCACAAGGCATGGCCGGGGCTGCTGAGGGCAGAGCCTGGGCGGGGGAGGGGCGGGCCCTGTCTGCGGGGGCGCTGCCCAGAGAACCGCGGGTGTTTAGGAGCTGGAGAACCTGCTGACCTACAAGCGGAAGGCGATAGAGCACACGCTGCTGGTGGAGCAGGCCGCCGGGGAGCCCCGCGCGCTCCGCCCCCAGGAGATGCTGCAGAGGTGGGTGCCGTGGGCGAGGCGGGCTGGGGGAGGCGGTGGGAGGACGTGGGAGGAGCCAGTCACGGGCCGGAGGAAGGAGCTTCGGTGGCAAGTCCACACCAAGCCTGCTTCTCTCTGTGCCCGCCTTGGCCTCTGGCTCCCTGGCACCATTGCAGCTGCATCTGCCTCACTCTCCCCTGTGCAGCGACGCCCCCTGCTCTCCCCTGGCACACTCTCTCCGTCAGCACCTTTGCTCCCTCTGGGCCCCTCCCCAGGCCTGTCCCGGGCCCTGGCTCACCGCCCTCCTCTGGGCCTCAGCCAGGTGGCACTTCCTCTGAGGCCTGTCCCGACCCCCTGGCTGTGGGGAACCGCAGGTCGGGGTGAGCACGCTGGCTGTCACACCTGGGCCTCCAGCACCTGTCCGTGCCTGGTGGGCAGGGCTCCGTGGAAACACCCCGCCCCCACGGATGTGACAGCCCCTCCCCCCGCCTGCGCCCTGGCGGGGTGGCCTCCCTTTCCCTGCCCACTGGCCCCTCCTGACCCACGGCACCCAGCGCCCTCCGTCTCCCCAGGCTCCTGAAGAATAACAGCCACGTCGGCGAGGAGTGCGGGGAGCTGCTGCTGCAGCGGGGAGCCACCCAGGTGCCCGCAGGTAAGGCGCTCACCTCCCGGCAGGGTTCTTGGTGAGGAGCCATAATAACCAAGCTTGTCTTGGGCCAGGCGTGATCCTATGTGCTTTGCAAGTCGCATCTCATTTAATCCTCCACTGCCCTCTGCTCAGCCCGTTTGGAGCTGAGGCTCGGCAAGGCCAAGTGACTTGTGCCGTCAGACGGTGCTGCACACCCCGGAGGCCGCTCGCTGTGCGGGTCCTTGCGGTGGGGGCCGTGTCCGAGGCTGGGCTTTGAGGGTGTCCTGAGAGGCCGAGTGGCTTTGAACGGGAGAAGTGGAACTGATGGAGTGCCGGCCCGTGTTGTCTGCTTCGCTTCCCGTTACATTCACTCAGGAAACTGTTGGGGACCACAGGAGACTCGGCTGGAAAGTTGTAAGGACAGTCTGAGAGGGGGAGTGTGCGGAAGGCCGCCTGCCCTGTTTATGGGTATTCTGACTTAGGGGAGACTTAGGGGAGCGCCCCTAATTATCCCTTGACCTTTCCAAACAAGTCTGTGCTCGTGCAGACCCCGGGTGTTTACTGGAATCCTTACGCTTAATCCCCGGATGCCCTTGCCTAGAGGATAGTGTAAACACCTGTGTCCTCCCAAGATTACTTACCCCACTGATTGTGTCTAAAAGATAAACTTTATCTCCAGCTGCTGCTACAATAAAAGGCTAGTGAGGCAGGCAATCGAGGCTGCCTGGCTGCTATCAGCCAGGTGGTCCCTTAGCCCTCTCTCGACAGCGAAGCTGTCACCTGTTCATCCGTCCTTCAGGGGTTGCTGGTCAGCCCGGCAGGACACCTTTATGGAGAGAGCTCTGTGCCCGCCCCCAGCCCGGCTGACTGTGACTCCAGTTTATAAAGTACCCAGGAGGCGGGATCAGAACCCAAAGCCTGTGGGCGCTGGGCAAGTTGCAGAGTTAACCGGCTGCTGGGAGTGAGCGGTAGGGAGTGGTGGGGACTGTGGAACTGGCCCAGCCTGTCCTTCTTATGGTAGGAACTCGGGCCTAGTCTGGTCAGAATTTCCAGTTGCTCAAGAGAAACCAGAGGCCTGCTCTCTTGTATTGTTTTCCAGAAATTGCAGAAGCCAGAGGTCAAAGGGACTGGACAGGACCCGGCACTGTTTTACCTCGGCCGCCAGTCTGACCTGTTGTGGGGGATTGTCAGTTATCATTTGAGCCTCTGCCTGCCCCTCCCTGCAGATCCTCATGGACAGAGGGCAGAGCGCCTGGGCCAGGCTCCCCACGTGCCCACACAGATGCGCACCCAGGCGGCCCCTGGAGCAGAAGTGGGCTAATCGGGAGGCACGGAAGCTGATTAGGCCAGGCCAGGGTCACGTGCAGAGATGAGCACAGACACTGAACCCGATGACTAGGGGGTGGGAGAGGAGGCGGCGGAGTGGCAGTTGCCTGGATCAGTGTGTGGGGACCAGCCCCTCTGCAGTGGTCATGGCCCTTTGGGCCCTGGGTTAACCTAAAGGAAGACCAGGCGGGTTCCCAGACGCCATGGGAACAGGGCGGTGACATTGGGGGAGCTGCCCTCCCGCACCCCCTCCCCCCAGAGACCCTGACAGCCCCCATCCGTCCTGGTGCAGGGCAGGGGACTGGGACACCTCCATCACTGGACCTGACCCCTCTGAACTCTGTGTTCGCTTCCTAGGGCTGCCGTTATAAATCCCACAACCCGGGGCTTACCTCTCCGTTCTGGAGGCCAGAAACCCAAGGTCAGGTGCAGGCAGGGCTGTGACAGACTCTGCGATGCCTCTGTCCGAGCTCCTGGTGGCCCTTGGCTGTGTGCACGCTCCCTTGGGGGAGGCCGGAGCTAGCAGGATGCAGAACAGGGCGCAGGAGGTGGGCGGAGCTTGCAGTGTGACATTCAGGTAGAAGGGGCTGGGTTGGCCTCCTGGAGGAGGTGACTTTTGAGCAGAGCAAAGTGGTGCAGGTGAGGGCGTGGTCACAGGGAATCCAGGAGGGAGGTGGCCTGGGGGAAGAACGGTGCCGGCCAAGGCCTGTGGGAGAATCAGGGGGCTGTGAGCAGAGTGGAGAGGGGCGGGTCCCTGGCTGCCTTCTTATTTGCGTGCTGCCTCTGATGGGCCTAGGCTTCTGGGAACAGCTGGAGGGATTGGCCTGAGGGGAGAACCCAGCTCTGGTTCCCTAATGACTGCAGTGCCCAGCCCCTGCCACCTGCCACCGCGGGGACCGAGCCCTCCCCACAGGCTGCGTGGCCCTGGGGTAGCGGGCAGGATTGGTTTCACTTGTGTAGTTTAAACCCCAACATTTGGCCTGGAGGGGATTTTGAACAGGTTGTTCATATATAAAACAGAATTCCCAGTTTCTGTTGAAAAATGGGAAGGCCTGGCAACATTCTGTTTCCCATGAGCAGCAGCTGCTGGCACGGCCCACGGCCAGGACTGGCACTGCTGGCTGGAGTCTGTGACCTTGGCCCCGCATGGAAGAGGGAGGGAGCGTGGAAAGGCTTCCTGAGGTTTATTCTCTTACCTTTGAACTTGGGCCTCCTGAGTCCGAAAGCCTCCGCTGGGGCCTGCTGGCTGGGGTGGCAACCTCCTCGGCCCCTGGTCCTCCCCGCTCCCAGCGGCCACGCTGCCTCCTGTCCCCGCCCAGGGCTGCAGCAGGACCCGCAGGGCTCAGGGCCCCTTCGCTTGCAGATGCCCACACTAGGCTGTCACCTGTGCTCTGACCCACTGGCTGTACTGGCGTCCCCACACCCTCGGGTTCAGTCATTTCCTCGAGTGGCTCACAGAGCTCAGGAAAACATCTGCTCACCCCCGGGTCATTGTACAGGACACCGCTCAGGCCCAGCCAGGCGGCAGCTGCACGGAGCAGGCGCAGGGCAGGGTGGGCTCGCAGGCTGCCTCCTCCCCGCACCGCTGCTCCCGGCCTGCCTCTCAGGTCAGCTCCTGTGCTCCAAGGACTGCTTGGAGGCCTCATCACACAGGCCTGGCTGATGGACTTGATCCCAGCCCCCCCACTCCCCGGGGCCCGGCTCCATCTTCCAGGGGACCCCTCCCATCCTGTCAGGAAATGGCAAGGGGTCCTGGCTGTGTCAGGACCTGGGCTCAGAGACCAAATATCACGACAAAAGATGCTCCTAGCACTTTGTCACTGAGAGTTAACAGTTTTGTGGCTTTTCCAAACCAAAGGAAGTTCTACAACGCAGTGGGTATTAATGGACAGATGCATTGATGAATTGATTGATTTTTTCGTTTTTTTTTAGATTAATTTTAGAGAGAGGGGAAGAGAAACAAACATTGATTTGTTGTTCCATTTATGCATTCATTGGTTGATCCTTGTTTGTGCCCTGACCGGGATCGAACCCGCAGCCTTGGCGAAACCTGACACCCTCTACCCAGCTGAGCTACCCGGCCCTCCCGGCAGCCACTTCTTTTTTTTTTTTAATATATTTTATTGATTTTTTACAGAGAGGAAAGGAGAGAGACAGAGAGCTAGAAACATCGATGAGCGAGAAACATCGATCAGCTGCCTCCTGCACATCTCCTACTGGGGATATGCCCGCAACCCAGGTACACGCCCTTGACCGGAATCGAACCTGGGACCCTTCAGTCCGCAGACCGACGCTCTATCCACTGATCCAAACCGGTTTCGGCGGCAGCCACTTCTTGAGGGGACATTGCCAGGTGTGGGTTTAGCATGGCAACTGCCCTCCCTGGTGAGGCCGAGCTGTCCACCATCGCTATTGCGGCCGCGAACCCAGGCTCGGCCTGGAGCCGGGAGCACTCACCAACCTTTCGACCCTCCAACCTTTCTTTTTGCTCGATTTCTCTGACGAGTGGCGATGTGATGCCTCAGTGTTGGGTACCTTATGGTGTTTGAAGACCCGCAGGGTCATTTAAGGTTCTCAGAGACTCTGAGGCCAGGAGGGGCCGTTCCTACGTCCATCCTTCTGCGCTGCCCTCTGGGGTGGCCGGGGAGGCACCGGGGTGGCCACATGGCTTATGGCCAGGTGGTGGCGGACAAGCTCTGCCCCAGCTGAACCCCCAGGGCATGTCAGGGATGGTGCCTGCAGGTCCAGGCTGAAGGGCCAGGCTCCCAGGGCAGCTGAGGCGAGGCCTCGCCCTCACCCACACCGTCTGTGCTTCCCTCCCAGGCCTGGTGCTGAACAGAGACCGGAGGATCGCCTGGGTGAGTGCCACCGCCCTCCTCCCTTCACGTGCCTGTCGGCCTCTCTTGTGGAGAAATGTACATAGCAGAGTATTTATCCTTTTCATCCATTTGTAAGTACACAGTTCAGTGGCATAAAACATATTCATGATGCCATGCAACCATCACCACCCCAACATGTCACACCTCCCCAGTATAAACTCCTTACCCATAACCATGGACTCCCCGCCCCATCACCCCCACCCCCCGGCCCCTGGCGACCACGTTCTGTTCTCTGAATCTGACAGCTCCAGGGACCTCATGTAAGTGGAATCATGCCGGGTGTGGCCTTGTGTGTCCGGCTTATTTCGCTTAGAGAACGTCCTCCAGGTTCACCCGTGCTGTATCTTGTGTCAGAATGCATTCCTTTATGGCCGGAGAACAGCCACTGCACGGCTACTCCGTTCATCCGTGGGGGGCACAGGAACCTGCCTGCGGGAAAGCACCCAAGGTTATCTTAGTCTGAAGAGTAGGAAATGGCTGGGAGGGGTCCAGGCAGAGCAGGCAGAGCCTGTGGGCTGTGGCCAGCATGTGTTCATAGGAATCGTGTCTTCACCCCCATGCACACAGTAGCTTAGTCGGTCCTTCCGGGAGCCTTTGTGAATTAACCCACCGAGTACACCCTGATCCCGTCAGCTGCCCGCTGAGCTCGGACACAGGAGACCCGGTGCCCTCAGAGGGCTCAGACTAGAGCACCCAGCGCGACAAGTATGTGAGCCTCCTTAAGTTCACCTCCCCAGTAGCCATATTAAAAGAGTAGAGAGAGCCGAAACCGGTTTGGCTCAGTGAATAGAGCATCGGCCTGCGGACTGAAAAGGTCCCAGGTTCGATTCCGGTCAAGCGCATGTACCTGGGTTGCGGGCACATCCCCAGTAGGAGATGTGCAGGAGGCAGCTGATCGATGTTTCTGACTATCTTTCTCCCTTCCTCTCTGTAAAAAATCAATAAAATATATTTTAAAAAAAGAGTAAAGAGAAACAGGTGAAGTCATGTTCAATACTTTTAACTCAGGGCATCCAAGATGTTGTCTCTTGAGCATGTAATCAATATAGAACATTAAGATCGTTGACTTTTTTCTTATCAAGTCTTCAAAGTCCAGTGTGCGGTTTACACGGCAGCCCATGCCAGTGTGGCCCAGCTCCCCTTCCAGCACCACAGTCCCCGGCGGCACAGGCCTAGCCATCAGAATGGTCAGACGGTGGTCAGGGCTGTCGGAGGCCAGCAGGGCTGTGGGCATCACCCTGCACTGTCTCATGGCACCTGTCCGAGCAGGCAGGTGGCTGCACTGGCAGAGCCCAGGGCCAGGCTGGCAGGGCAGCCTGTGGACCAGGAAAGGGAGTGGGAAGGGGCCACACCTGAGACCTGAAATCTAGGCCCAGAAGTCGCCCGGACCCCTCTGCTTTCAGTCACACGGCCTCGCCTGGCTGTAAGAGTCTGGGAAACACCGTCTGGATGGGCAGCTGCAAGCCCAGAAAGATTTAGGGGGAAAGGGCCTCCGGCCCGTGGCAGTGAGAGGCCCATTGGGAAGGGGGTGTGGTTGGGCCCGGGCTCCATCCTGGGGTAGGTGGGTGAGGTGCCCCACCAGGCTCCCCAGGGCCAAGAGACAGGTCTCACCCACAGCAGTGCCCGGTTCCTGGCCAGTGTGGGTCAGTTGGTTGGAGCGTTGTCCCATGCACTGAGGGGTCACTAGTTAGATTCCTGGTCAGGGCACATACCCAGGTCACAGAATTGATCCCTGGTTGGGGTGTGTATGGGAGGCAACCCATTGATGTTTCTCTCACACACTGATGTTTCTCTCTCAAATAAATAAAATATATTTTTTTAAATTTTTTTTTATTGATTTCAGAGAAGGGAGAGGGAGAGAGAGACAGAAACATCAATGATGAGAATCATTTATTGGCTGCCTCCTGCATACCCTACACTGGAGATCAAGCCAGCAACCCGGGCTTGTGCCCTTGACCAGAATCAAACCAGGGACCCTTGTCCCCAGGCCGACGCTCTGCCCACTGAGCCAAACCGGCTAGCTAGGGCAATAAATATTTTTTTAAAAATGCCCGCCAGTGTGGATCAATGGTTGAGCCCGGCCAGCAATTGAAATAGGTCAGTTTGATTCCCCATCAGGGCGCATGCCTGGGTTGCTGGCTCACAGTCCCCAGTTGGGGGCGTGAGGGAGGCAGCTGATCAATGATCCTTTCATCATTGATGTTTCTCTCTCTCCCTTCCTCTCGGAAATCAATAAAAATATATTTTAAAAAAGAAAACAGATCCTCAGGTGAGGATGAGAAATGATTCACTGTGGTTCTTGCCTCTGCAGCCAGAGCACACCTTCGATTTCATCAGCAAGGAGCTGTGTGCACACGCCATCAAGAAGCTGCAGGCCCACACGCTGCTCATCAAGTAAGTCTAAGCCCAGCAGCCACCGTGAGCACCAGGGATCTGCAGGCCACCCAGGCGTGAGGCCCCAGCCCTCCCAGTGCCACTCGCTTGGGAAGCCCTTGGCGGCTGGTTGGGCAGCACACCTTTCAACAGGCGACTGTGGAGGGCACCCCACCCTATGCTGCTGCTCCTGCCTGCCTTTCTCCCCCAGGCCAACACCTCAGGGTCTCACAGCAGTGAACACCCTTTACTGTGGCCGAGATGCCACCCCCCTGCACTGCAGCCCTGCGCCGTCCATGCCCAAGGCAATATCTGTGACCTCCAGGGACACTTCTGTCTCTGGTGCCGAGCACAGGGTCTACAGAGTATGCACTCGAGACACGCACATCCAAACTGCTGCACACCCGCAGCGTGGCTACTCTCACCTGAGCGCAGTGTGGCTGGCAGATGGCCGGAGCCCCAGTCCTCAGAGCGATGGGACTGTCCAGCGGTGCGACCACAGTGGCAAACAATCTGTGTCTCTCAAGCAGTTACCACATGGCCCTCTGGCTGGGCAGTGCAGGATGGTCCAGAGCATTCCTCACAACCACCACCAGGTGGGGCAACCCCAACATCCGTCCACCACGGACTGTTTCCGTCCTAAAAAGGAAGCACTGACCCTTGCCAGAGCATGGACGGACCCTGAAGCATTCGGCTCCGTGGAGGAAGCCAGCGCGGAGTCCACCATGGGGCTCCCCTCCCATGCAAGCCCAGGGAGGGACTGCACAGAACGTCAGCTAGGCCTGCAGTTGTGTGTGGGAGAGGACATAGGTTTGGGATTTTTTTTTTGAGATGAAAATGCTCTAAAATTGACTACTGGTGGTTGCACAACTGAATATATTTAAAACCAAGGAATTATACACTTGAAATGGGTGAAAGTATCTCAGTAAAGCTATTTAAAAAAAAAAAAAAGAAATTCCAGCCAGTGTAGTTCAGTGGTTGAGCATCAACCCATGTACCAATGTTTGCCAGTTCAATTCCCAGTCAGAGCACATGCCTAGGGCTAGGTCCGCAGTAGCAAGCATGCAAGAGGCAGCCAATTGATGCTTCTCTCTCTATAAAAACCAATAAAAATACTTTTTAAAAAGGAAAGAAAAAGTACAGACTCAAACCATTCTCTGGCTCTACATTCACTGGCTGTGACCAGGGCAAACTGGGACTTCAGGTGTGGGTGGGTACCGAGTGGCTGAACCCAGCTGTGGACGAGGGGGGGTAGCTCAGGCCAGGATGCAGGGCACTGCTGGAGGCGGACCTGAGATGAACCCTGGTTTCTTGCTTTCCAGAGCAACTGAAGGATTTTTTGACGTGAGGAGAGAATATGATGCTGACAAGGGGCTCATACTGTTCATGACTGACCAGCTGAAATCTGCCCTAGGAGAGGTGGGTGTGGGGCTCAGGGTGGCTGGGTATGGAGGGGCATCATGCCCTTCGGGGCTCCACTATGCTACCTCTTCTTTTTTAAAATATATTTTCATTGATTTCAGAGAGGAAGGGAGAGGGATAGAAGCATCAATGATGAGAATCATTGATTGGCTGCCTCCTGCACACCCCCCTACTGGGGATCAAGCCCGTAACCCGGGCATGTGCCCTTGACCAGAATCGAACCTGGGTCTCTTTAGTCCACAGGCCGGTGCTCTAACCACAAAGACTCCTGGTCTGGCTCAGCCCCAGGTCTACCAGGTGCCCCCGGAGCTACCAGGCCTCACTCCCAGCTGTGGGCAACGTAAACTGGCACAGAGTAGACTGTTCATTGGCAGACTCTCCCGACTTTATTGTCCTCACACCCAGGGGGCCAGCCCCGACTCAGCCAGCGGCCATCCCAGTTTCCTAGGGTCCCAAATGGGAACAGATGGCCAGTCCCCTCACTGGGTGCTGGCTGCAGGTGGGGGTGGGCCCCAAGCAGGAGGGCTGGGACTTGTGCTTGACTGTCCCTGGGGAGCACCTGGCCCCGGAAACGGGAAGCCCGTGTGGCTGCGTGGCCATCGGCGGTGCCCTCCCGTCCTGTCCGTTGGCTCCCTCCCGGGCGGGTCGGATAGAGCAGCAGCACCGCCACTTGCTCCGCCCAGCCTACTTCCCCAAGCTCACCGCTCAGCATGCCCAGGCCCCCAGGGCGGGCACACTTCCCTCCCAGAGGCCTTTCTCATGAACTCAGAGCCAGGCCTGAATCACCCAGGGACGCCATGAACAACCACAGGGAGGCAGCAGACCCCAGGAAAGCCCCACCAGAGGGGCCCCTGGAGCCACCACTCACCACCTGTCCCCTCCTTCCCCAGCGGTTCCAGTTTGTGGAAATTCCAGGCAACCACTACGTCCACATGAACCAACCCGATCACGTGGCCAGTATCATTGGCTCCTTCTTACAGAGCAGGAACAGGATCCCAGGCCAGCTGTAGCCCTGGGCCTGGGGCCACTGAGACCTGTGCTCACCACACACCACCGGACGCCCAGCTCCCGGGGCCCCAGCCAGGCCAGGCACGACGGGGCCAGGCCTCACTGGTCTTGAGCAGCAGGAGCTGGCAGAGCAGACGTGTGGGGTGTGACTTCTGTCTCCAACATTTGTGAGTTCGCAGGGGAGATTGTGTCTGGATTCGGGGTCTGTGTTGTGGCTGGAAACCGGCAGTGAGCTGGGAGTGCAGGAGGACTGGACAGGCCGCCCGGCTTGCAGCCAGCAGCTCTTGCGCCTTTCCTGTGTCCGCCTGGATGAATAAATTGTTCTTTTCTCTCTCACTGCCTTTGGGGCTTTCACAGCTGCGGGGCTTGGCCACTGAGGGTTAAGGGGAGAACATGGCGGACACTTAGCTTTTAGCGGGAGATCCAGACAGACTGGGAGGAGACAGGAGCAGCAGGAACCCCTTCCTGGGCCGGTGGCTCCTGAGAACCAAGTCCTCATGCTGGGCAGGCTCACCAGCTCCGGGCTCGGGCTGCTGAAGACAAGGTCTGAGGGTGGCACTGTCCTTTACCCGCCGCCTGTGGGCTGATTCTTGGTGCTGTTTGACGTGGCAGCTTCCGGGCCGGGGCAGTCTGAGAGCATCTAGGCCTTCGTGTCCTTGCTGGCCATCCCCACCACCCTGTCCGTGCGGCTCAGTAGGGACGGAATTTGCGTTGGGCCCGCATCAGCTCAATCCTCTGCTTGTCCTCCTCGAACTTCTTGCGCAGCTGCGCTAGATCTGGGGCGTGAGGGGAAAGGGGAACGGCCAGGATCAGACAACGTGCCTGTGGGAGCTGCGCCCCATTGCCCCCATGAGTCTGCCGGGCCACACACCCTCTCCATAGCAGCCTCTGCACCACAGCCAGCACCTGAGGCCACACACACACACGCCTCCTGCAGTCTGGCCCCAGCACAACTACATTCCAGGTGCCTCTACAGCCCTAAGTATCCCAGAGGACCCCACAGCGACCTCTAGGGAGCAACAGTGGGACCAGCACACAGGTGCTGCCGGGCTGGGATCCCAAACCCAAAGCCTGTTGGGAAATCTGGGCCTAAGGACACCCTGCCTGGCCCAGAACCCAGGTCCAGCGCCTGCCTCTGGGGCTCTGTGCTTTGGCCACAGGCCTTGCCCAGGCAGCTGGGGCTCAAGACTAGTGGGGCTGGCCGACGGGCTGGGGGCGCGTCCTTACGCTCCATCTTGGTCTCCCGGTGCTGCCAGGCGTAGAAGTTGAGCAGCTCCTTGCGGGCGCGCTTCCGCTTCTCCCTCTCCAGCACCCGCAGGCTGGCTGCCTCTGTCCGGGGCAGCACGGGCCGCCGGCCACGGCGTGTCACCTTCACCCAGCCCTCCTCGTCCGGGACCCCTTCCTCCTCCTTGGCCTTCGCTTCCTCCTGCAAGTACATGACCCTGTGATGGCCCGGGACCCGCCTGCAGCCTCGGGAGCCTGCTGGGAAGAACCTGGGCACCCAGGGGCACCTGCTGCCCGCTCCACCCCCAGCAGTGAAGGTGCCTCCTCCAGCCTCGGGCCGCTCCTCCTCTACAGACCTAGTGAGTAGACGCCACCAGCTCAGGTGACCGGGACTCAGCAGGGAAAGGGGTGTCTAGACTGCATGGTGACCAGGTCAGCTGCCTCCCCCGCCCCCTCAGGAGCCACCCCACACCCGTGGCACCGCCTTCCCCACAGCGACAATGATGTGCAGCCCCCCGCGAAGCCCTACCTCGGCCATCTTCCTGTCGTACGCCTCCATGAATGTGTCCACTTCCACTCGCAGGGCCTCCGGGTCCAGCACGGAGTCTGTGTAGTCACTGATCCACTCTGAGGGAGGGAGCGACGGACACAGGCCTCCTCAGGTGACGTGCGGGCCACCCCAGGACCCGCCGGGCCAGCTGGCTTTATCGCACACAGGCCACAGCATGGAGACTGGCCAGGGTTCGGTAAGGGAGGTTCTAGTGGTGGCAAGCTGGGCCCCACCTATGCCACCCAGTGCCAGGCTCAGGCCTCCCACACGCTGCTCTCAGAGCAAGTGAACATGGCGATGCTGCCCCACAAGGACCCCGCCCACTCACCCAGGGCCCGGGAAGGAGGTACCCCCCCCCACCCCCCCCACCCGGCAGCACTGACTGTGAACGCCGCTCTTCACGGGGTGACTCTCTGTCGAGACCAGCAAAGGGCCCTTCAGGGCTAAGGCAGCCGGCACCCCTTTCGGCTTCTGGAACACCACATAGGCCACCTGGAAGCCCTGGGGAGAGAGAGGTCACAGCGCCGGGCCTCCCGTCCCCCAGCCACTCACGCCGGCACGAGGGCTGCCCCTGCCTGCAGCCTGACTGTCACTGGACCAGCGAGATGTGCAGGGCTGTCCTTGAACATGAAGATAACCAGGAGGTTGTCCCTAATCCACAGGCAGGATGGGTGTGTGCCAGTTACCCACCTGAGCCCCTGGTTACCCGCCTGAGCCCCTGGTTACCCGCCTGAGCCCCTAGTTACCCGCCTGAGCCCCTAGTTACCCACCTGTGCCCCTGGTTACACACCTGAGCCCCTAGTTACCCGCCTGAGCCCCTAGTTACCCGCCTGAGCCCCTAGTTACCTGCCTGTGCCCCTAGTTACCCGCCTGAGCCCCTAGTTACCCGCCTGAGCCCCTAGTTACCCGCCTAGCCCTAGTTACCCGCCTGAGCCCCTAGTTACCTGCCTGTGCCCCTAGTTACCCGCCTGAGCCCCTAGTTACCCGCCTGAGCCCCTAGTTATCAACCTGTGCCCTGGTTACCCGCCTGAGCCCCTAGTTACCCGCCTGAGCCCCTAGTTATCAACCTGTGCCCCTGGTTACCCGCCTGAGCCCCTAGTTACCCGCCTGTGCCCCTGGTTACCCGCCTGAGCCCCTAGTTACCCGCCTGAGCCCCTGGTTACCCGCCTGTGCCCTTGGTTACCCGCCTGAGCCCCTAGTTACCCGCCTGAGCCCCTGGTTACCTGCCTGAGCCCCTGGTTACCCGCCTGAGCCCCTGGTTACCCGCCTGAGCCCCTGGTTACCAACCTGTGCCCCTGGTTACCAACCTGTGCCCCTGGTTACCCGCCTGAGCCCCTAGTTACCCGCCTGAGCACCTAGTTACTCACTGTGTCCCCAGTTACCCATCTGAACCCCTAGTTACCAACCTGTGCCCCTAGTTACCCACTGTGCCCCTGCCTAGTTACCAACCTGTGCCCCTAGTTACCCACTGTGCCCCTAGTTACCCACTGTGTCCCTGGTTACCCACTGTGCTCCTGGTTACCCACCTGAGCCCGTGGTTACCCACCTGAGCCCCTAGTTACCCACTGTGCCCCTGGTTACCCACTTGAGCCCCTGATTACCCACTGTGCCCCTGGTTACCCACTGTGCCCCTGGTTACCCGCCTGAGCCCCTGGTTACCCGCCTGAGCCCCTACTTATCAACCTGTGCCCCTGGTTACCCGCCTGAGCCCCTAGTTACCCGCCTGAGCCCCTAGTTACCCGCCTGTGCCCCTGGTTACCCGCCTGTGCCCTTGGTTACCCGCCTGAGCCCCTGGTTACCAACCTGTGCCCCTGGTTACCCGCCTGAGCCCCTGGTGACCCGCCTGAGCCCCTAGTTACCCGCCTGAGCCCCTGGTTACCCGCCTGAGCCCCTGGTTACCCGCCTGAGCCCCTAGTTACCCGCCTGAGCCCCTAGTTACCCGCCTGAGCACCTAGTTACTCACTGTGTCCCCAGTTACCCATCTGAACCCCTAGTTACCAACCTGTGCCCCTAGTTACCCACTGTGCCCCTGCCTAGTTACCAACCTGTGCCCCTAGTTACCCACTGTGCCCCTAGTTACCGTGTCCCTGGTTACCCACTGTGCTCCTGGTTACCCACCTGAGCCCGTGGTTACCCACCTGTGCCCCTGGTTACCCACCTGAGCCCCTAGTTACCCACTGTGCCCCTGGTTACCCACTTGAGCCCCTGATTACCCACTGTGCCCCTGGTTACCCACTGTGCCCCTGGTTACCCACCTATGCCCCTGGTTACCCACCTGTGCCCCTAGTTACCCACTGTGCCCCTGGTTGCCCACTGTGCCCCTAGTTACCCACTGTGCCCCTAGTTACCCACTGTGCCCGTTCCCACCAGGCCTTTCTTCCGTTATGGGAGGGACTCGGGGAACAGCGTGCTGAGCCCTGGCCAGGAATGGATGGACACACAGGGCGCAGACTAGTTCCAATTCCACTGCAGCAGGAGGCGTGAGCTCCAGGCTACAGGGAATGACAGTGGGGCTCAAGGAGGCCCTCGGGGTGGGGGTGGGGAAGAGATGGACCCAGAGCTTTCAGGACACTGGAGAGAGGCGACAGGAAGCTAAAGGTAGTGGCAAGTCTGGGGTAAGGAATGGAGGGGTTTACCTGCCAGCCCTCCTGGACCACATGTCTGGCAGGCCCTGAAAGTCCCACTGCCACCCAGCATCACCGTCCCCTCACGGGGTCCCTGCCCTAGCCCCTGTGCCCCATGCTGGCAGACCCCAGGAATGGAGGCTTACCGCAACAGGCTTGGGGTGAAAAAACTTCGACTTTGGCTCCTTGGGGCTCTCGGTGAGCTCGGGCTTCCCCTGCAATTCCACTGACTGGACGGGGCCACAGGGGGAGAGGAGGCGGGCCAGGCACTCCTGCCGAGGCGGAGGGAGCAGTGTGAGGGCTGCAGGCCCTTCCAGGAGCCTCCCTCCGCCCCTGGAGATCCGGGATCCCACGTCTGTGCCCCAACCGGGGACACGCAGGGAGGGCTGGGCAAGCCACGGCCTCAGCAGGGGTTAAAATCCTCTCCTCCCAGGGCCCGGGACAGAACCTTGTCAATTTACACGTTAAAAACGGGGGTAAGAGGCCACCCCTCCACTGGCAGGGCCTCAGGAAGTGGGGGAGACGGAATTCAGGCCTAAGTTCTGGCTTTGTGACAGGATCCTGCGGGAGCACATGCCCAGAACGCACTGGCTTTCTCACCGAAGTGAAGGGATTTCTCATTGGAAAGTACATCTTGCTGAAAGATCAGTCTTTCCTATCAATTTCTCTGGGTAATGATACCGAAAGAGGGATTAGGTTCTAAATAAACCTATAAACAAACGTTTTAAATGTAAAAAGAAAATTATTGCAAGAATAGGTGGGGACATTTTTGGTGTTATTCGAAGTATTCTGATTTTATGAGCCAACCAAGAAAGTTTTACCACCTGACTCTGCCTTTTAAAAACAGTGAAACCTGCCCTGACCGGTTTGGCTCAGCGGATAGAGCATCGGCCTGCGGACTCAAGGGTCCCGGGTTCGATTCCGGTCAGGGGCATG